GTCCAGTGGATGATGATCTGATTAGTCGACTAATCGCATAAATAATCGGTGACTAGTCGACTATCAAAATAATCATTTGTGGCAGCCCTATTACAGATGAAAGAATTTAGACAGTTTTTAACTCTCAGTGATGCCGCAGTGATCGTGTGACTTAGGGACATCAGACTTAAAGGCCGGATGCAGGCACAGGAAGAACGTGTCAGCTCCACACAGAAAGGCCCCAGCTGGCACATCTGAACCCAGGACCTCCTTGCTGCACCACTGACTTGATAACTTTGCAGATAATTTTTCTAGAAGTTAATAAACAATCTTATTGTATAACTTTAGCTGGAACTAGTGAATTTGGATCTTTTATTGCTTAAAAGCGTTGCTGATGTTTGCTGATCAGATAATCTATTCTCTAACTAATCATTTCAGCTTCAGGGGAAAATAGATTCATACTTGCATCTGTTTTTATTATTGCAGTGTGTGTATGTTTTGTTATGGTTCTGACATCGAAAATACCAGAGAGAATTTATGATTTTACGCCCACTTGCTTTTGGATTCAAGAAGCAAACAGAGCTGAGTCGGCTGAGCGATCATCTTCATCCTCCTCCATCCTATTGTTTTATGTTCACGTAATTTCCTCCACCAGCTCCTCGCTCTTAGTCATGCAACTCCTTCCTGTGATAATCCTGTTGATTACAACCAGAGGAAAGTGATTTTTCTTTTTTGTTCTAAACTAATCTCCACCTGTCTCTGTCTGTTCTTTTTCCTCCAGTGCACTCCCATTGTTGGCCATGGATTTGTGTTGGACAAGTACAAGTGCCAGTGCAGGAGAGGATTTTACCATCCGAGCCGAGTGGCGCTCAATGGCTTTAAAAGTAGGTTACAAAGCTCTCTGTAATAATAATAAAAAAATGCATATTGCAGTGAGCTGTCAGATCAAAACTTTGAGTCTTGCAAAAGCAAGCTTTTGGGAATTATGGAAAAAAGAGGAAAACAACCACCTCTTTTGAGCTGACAGTCACACATTTTGTTTGAAATTCTTGTTACAGCTTTGAAGGGGTATCCTGGGGTTTGTGAGGTTATGAAACCTCAAGCTCCAGTCAAGGGAGTTTGACTGCTCTTATGTTGAAATGTCTACTACGTTTCTATTCTGAGCTCCAGTGGGAGCCACAGGTGGCATTCGAATCACAGACCTGTTGGATTGTGTGACGGCTGCGTAGACGTAGAACACAAGGTGGAATAAATTAGAATAAATGTTTAGTTACATTTTATTTGACCATTTGCCAGACGGTTACTGTTGCTATGCCTGTCAGGTTTTTTGTTCTTAAAGGGCGTACGGTGGCAGTGTCACAGTGTGGAGTAGAGAGGACCTAATGCAAGACTCTGCACACTGAGGCAAGCCTTTGTGGCCGATGAAAAGTGCCATATGAAACATGAACATGCAACCAAAACCAGAAACCAAGGTGCAAAAATAGGAGGAAACCTAACAGATGTTTTCACAAAGAACAAAACTTTATTAAGTACAACTGTTCAACTGCTCCTTCACAAATATTTAATCAACTGACCAGAGCAACTCAATGCATTTAGACATGTAGACACAATCAAGACGAGCTGGTTAAAGTAGCATTTCACAAACTGCTGATCTACTGGGATTTTCCTGCATAGTTGTCTCTAGGAACAGTATCATAAATAACCACCTCTTACAACCAGTGCATGCAGAAGAGCATCTCTAAATGCACAGCACATTCAAACCTTGAAGCACATGCAGAAGAAGACCACACCAGATGCCACAAATACGAATTCAAACAGGATCGCCAAAATGGGAGACTGGAAAATTATTGTCTGGCTTCATGATTCTCAGTTACTGAGGCAACTTGGTTGGAATTTTGAGTAAACGACGTGAAACCAGTGATCCATTTTGCCCTGTATCTATCCATGGTTCAAGCTGCTGCTGGTGGTGTAATTGTGTGCAGGGATGTTTCTCAGCACGCTTTTGGCCCCTTAATAGCAACTGAGCATTATTTAAACACCACCTGAGCATTGTTGCTGACCACATAGATCCCTTTATGAACACAGTGTCCCCATCTGCACAAATCGCAAAGCTCCGATGATCTTAAACTGACTTTTTGAACAGGGCAGTGAGTTCACTGCACTCAAATGACAGATCTTAATCTAGTAGAGCACCTCTGGGGTGTGGTGTCAATCCGACGTAAATCTGCAGCAACTGTGTGACGCTATCATGTCAATATGGACCCAGATCTTTGAGTGATGTTTTCAGCTCCTTGTTGAATCTGTGCCGCAAAGAATTAGGAAAGTTCTGAAGTCAAAAGGGATCCAATCAGGTGCTAGCAGGTTTGACCTAATAAAGTGACAAGTGAGTATACACAGAGGTCTGATTAGGCAATAGACATAAAATGGGAAAGCCACAGGTGTGCATAATCACCACAGGTGAACGTAATCAAGGCAATCAGACAGACAGGAAACATCTAACCTAGACATGGGAAAAAAAACCTTCATAGTAAAACAGCAAATAAGAGAACTAATACAGATGTAAATACTAACTCTTAATGAGACTTCAAACTAGGGAACAAACAGGAACCAAGGCAGAAACAGAGAAGGGAAATCCAATGAAAACACAAATCAAACTTTAAACTCTAACAGCAAAACAGAAACCCAAGCTTGAGACAGAAACTCAAATTCAGAGCAAACCCTGGCAGTTTGACAGTTTAGCTCCTCTGAAACAGCATCTTTGACCTCAGATGGCCGTAAATGAAATAAGAAAGCTGTATAAGCATATTACAGGGAACATATTTATTTTGTTTTCTATTGATTCTAAGCTCAAAATAATCATATATCATATACTGAGCCTTAGTTTATCCTGTGTCTGAAACTATTTGTTTCAGCTCGCTTCAATCACGCTTTCTTTGAATCAGCTGCCCTTTTTAAAACAAAAGGTTTGAACAGCAGGAGGGGTGGGCTACTGTGTTGTGTGCCTGAGATGATCACTTTAAAGATATCCAATCTCACTGACATGATACAGAGCCAAGATTAGAGCGCTTAGAACAGTCTGAAGTCTGAGCTTCTGGCTGTGATCACATTATTTGGCATTTTGGTCATGTTTAATACGTGCATCCATCATTGTTACAGAATGACAGAAAATAAGGAAAAGCATGACGTCTGTTTTATGTAGCTGAAAGCACATAGCTAACAGTTACCTACCTGATATGATGCTGAAAGATTATGACCGGTGCTTGTGGACCAGGAAAAAAGGGTCTCACCAGTTGCTCATGCAGTCACTCAGCACATCCAGACTTCTAATAATAGAGATTCAGAGACAGTAAAATTATAAAAAACTGTCTTGTAAATTTCAATAAAGATGCTTAAAATAAAAAGTTTGCTAAAAACACATTTGTCTTTTACCTGATAGCGATGCCAATATTTCTTCTTTTTTAGTGTGCTCTTGTTGCTTCTTGTTGAAAACATTCAACATTTAACAAACTAAAGATGCATTTAAAAGGATGCTTGCAAATAAGAGTTGAGATATAATGAGAAAGGAGTTTTGTTAATGTAACACTGTCCAGCTCTGCTTTGGGTGGAATTTGTAATGTGCTGGGTTCAATAAATAGGAGGAGAGAGCTGCGATAATTCAATAACCCCCAAAATCTGAGATTAACAAAAAATTATGTAACACCCGATGAAGGCAAATGAGACCTCAAAAGCACAACTTATGAGCAAAAATCAGTCTTTACAAGTTTCACTGCACAAATTCCCAGTCCAAGCAATCAGACGTCAGAGTATGTTAGAAGCAGGCAAGCAAGGGTCAGCCTAGAAAACCAGCAAATTTTAGGTTTTACAGAGAGAATGAGCAAAAGGCAGAGAAAGAATTTCCTGCAACAATCTACAAAGGAAAACTGGCATAGAGGAAAAGTAACATATGGAGCAAATACGAAAAGGTGAAAACAAGGTCCAGGTAACACAGTTCAGGGAACAACATATTGTAGGTAAAACACACAAAGGCAGGAAGACTGAAAAACAAGAGAGACGAGTTTCTCAAAGTAAAAGACAAAACAAGTGAATAAAAACACAGAAAAAGGGGGAAAGAGAAGGGGAAGATTTGATAGATGAATTATTTTATTTTATTCTAATGCAATCACAAAGATTAACACATATATACATATTAGGACTGTAACAATGTGCATGCAATAAGGACAAAAATAAGGAGCACCAAAAATGTCATCATAAAGCTCAACTCGTAATGGAAGCATTACACAGCGAAAGACAGCAAGAAGCACTAGTTAGCCAGGTAAGTTTCCACCCTCAGAGCACATAAACACACTGTTTCATTTACTTCATTCCTTTTAAGTCTAGTGTCTGGTTTTCCAACTAATCAGGACACAACCTTCTGCATTCCTTGCACACTAAAGTATATCTCCTAACAGAACACTATGCACATTTCTGAGATATATGAGGAAATCTTAAGCTTTATGGGGCGTTTGCTACGCTGCATATGGACAATTGACGTTCAGGAGAGCAGTTTAGAGAACAGTAAGCTGTTATTGCCTGTCCTACAGCTCTGGCAATCGATCTTATTTTCCCAATATTTCTTATTTTTCATTCAGGTGCGAGAAACAAGAAAAGAAAAACTAAATTTGCACACCCTCTTGGCCTTGGATCATTTCTCTGCTGATGTTCTGCTTTTCAGACTTGCACTTTTCAACTATATCGTTAACTTTAGCCCCCCCGATCGTGCTTTGGGTTTGAATGTCGGTTTTCTTGACTGAAAGCGCTGCAGTGTCCTCGGACAGAAAGCCTGGCCCTGATGAGCAATATAATCATTCAACTGCGGTGGTTCTCATCCCCGACTCCAACAATGCAGCACCCCAGGGGGGTTGATATGCTAAGCTGGAGCTTTATTATAATGCAGTGTGATGAAGGATGTAGTCAAAATGCTCAGTCTGTGAAGAGACTCATCTTCCAAACCCCATGCAGATCACCTCTTTAAAAATCACTGTGACTCAGATTGCATTGCAGTTGCAACCCTGATTTCCACTCGTGGAACATCAGTCTTAGTCTTTGTGCAGCTACACACAAAGAGACCCAAAGCAAGAAATTTGAGTATACAATTTATGCACTACAAATGCAAATGCCTAAAGCGTGCAGTGAGCTTTGCAGCAGCCTCAATGAACTGAAGAAGCTGTGCAAGTACAGTTTTGCAAAATTAATAAATAAATAAATAAAATTACAAAAAACAAACAACGTTAGGGAGAAAAACCAACAGTTGTGAGGAATGTACAAACTGAAAAGCACTTTTTACTTGCAGTAGTTTAAGTGGTTTGGAAGGACCGCCTGTGCTCAAACTGAGAGCCGTGGTATCACTGTGAACATCTGGCCCCTGTGACAGATGTGTGAAAAATGAACCAAGCTTTCTTCTGTCTGCCTTCAAGCCACTGTGAGAATGATTCGATCTTCAAATCAAACAAAAGACAATGCAAACACAAATTTATGATACAAAAATTTTAGATAACACGCACACACTAGTGCTGCCACAAACCATTATTTTGATAGTCGACTAGTCACCGATTATTTTTGCAATTAGTCGACTAATCAGATCATGCACCCATTGGATGTAAAACCTACAGCTTATTGCACCAGCATGCATTTGCTTTCATATAACAATCATTAGCTTACAGCTTGAAGTGTTTAAGGTATGTGCTAGCTGATTGCAGATTGTCTCGGTGGAGTTTAATAAAATTAGCCGTCTGCTCTTTGCTCCTAAAATATAACAGGACACTGGAGTAAATTCTCTACCATCACACTTGTGTTTAATCAGTTTTCTGTTTGACGTTTATTCAGCTGTGTAAAAACTATAACTATATAAGTTATACAAGTGACTTATATATCATGTTTAACCTGAGTAGCGAAAGAATGCGGCAGGTTTGAAAACGATGTGCCGGGAGTTCGCTGTTCTCGCCGGCTCCAGTGAGCCTTGACCCTCTTGGTCAGCTATCGAGCTAGCGGGGTAACAGACGTCTCTGAAAACGTCAGAGCATTTTTGCGAATATGTGATGTCTTGATAAACCGAGCAGATATTTAAAGTTTACACAGCTGTATTCTCGCCTTAAAATTAAAAGTTTATATTGTGACCCAGAAAGAGTAATATTAAAACTAAGTAGCTGCCGCAATTGTTGGAAACTGGAATTGGCTGAGCCGCGCTCTGAATTCTGCGATAGATTGGGCCACGAAGGATACACCCGACCCATCCTTTAAATCTGGGGAAAAGGAGGACACATTTGTCGGCCGCATTTGGAGTAGCCTTCAAATTTGGACAACCTTCGTTGCGTCGCTGTAACGTAATCAGCCTACAAATGCAGCCTCCGAATTTGGACACAGCTACTATACCAGAGACTGCTTCTTCTTCTTCAGCATTTAATGGCAGCTAGCATCCTTGTAGATGCATTGCTGCCATCTTCTGTTTCAGTCCATTATTACACTCTTAAATTCTGCTACTTATTCCTGCGTCTTTCAGGATCATACACAGCTTCAAACAATGAGTTTGATTATTAAATTAGTCGTTGATGATTTTGATAGTCTAATCATGGCAGCCGTAACACACACACAAACACAGATGTAGATGATGCTAATTTCCGTTGTTACTCAGGAATGAGTGTAAGAACAGCTTAGATTGAAGGGTTCAAGGGAAAAGACTGAGACTGAGCTGTGCGGCGGAAAGATGCCCGGTGTGTTGGGAAAATGATGCTGCTGGGAGAGAGGAAATAGGATGTGGTGAAGGAGGACATGCACACAAAATGTGGTGTGGCAGAGAAGGATGCACGGGACGGAAGGAGATGAAAACACATGATCTACTTGGCTAACCTCTAACTTGAGCATCTGAAAGAAGAAAAAATAGTTCACCATAATCTGAGTAATAGCCTGCAATAAGTACCCACTTTAAAACCTTTGCATTTGATGTACTTATGTATTATTTTTAATTGGATGTTTCAAAACTAATTTCTTTTTGTCTATTATTACAATTGAGGCAGAATGGGTATTACAGAAATGGAACAAAGACTGCACTTGTGCCAGCACAAGGTAATATGCTGTTTCTCTGTATAGCCCCTGGGATACAGAGGAGAGAGGCTGGTGGCTGTATTGTATTAATTTCAGCATTCATCTGATTTTGGTTATTAGGGCTTTGTTGAAGGATCTAACTACATACTTCATCTTTGAGCTGTTTATATTCTCATCTTTCAAATAAAGCACTAATAAAGTAATGTGAATACTTTAGACTAAATTTATTGTGCATGTGATCCTCAGGTTGAGATGTCACAGTTGTGCCATTTGGTTCAGTATGTAGACCAGAATAATGTGTGCGGTGTGAGCCACAGCTGGGCCAGAAGTTATTTGCTATTTGTTTAAACCAACACTGCCAAAAATCCCCAACGTGCTCTGGTTGTCGAATGTAAACTTGCCACACACACCTTATAACACTCTGAGAAATTCAGTCTTTACAGCAAGTCGGTCGAGGACATTTTTCTTCAGTAATGGAGTAAGCTCAGTAGTTTGACAACAACAACTCAACAAATGGGCTGTGGGCTAAAACAAGGTCCGGTTTGACTCAGCTTGACTCATGCGCCACAGTTGGTGCTTATTTATTGACATCTGGCATTTGAAAGTAGATGGAAATTGACAAGCTGAGGTTAGGGACTGTCAAAAGTACACGCAGCATGGGCCTCCGGAGTGTTTTTTAGACATCTTCTCATCTTTTTTTAAATATTAAAACATTTTTCCTATCTGGACTTAGTCTCTTTGTAAACACAATACTCTATTTCAACACTTTTAGACATTTCTTGCTTGTTTTTTTGACACTATTGATTTCCACCCAGACCTTTATTAACAGTCACGCTCTACTGGACTGAAATCTGCTGACTGTGGAGGCCATTTGTGTACAATGAACTCATTGTCATGTTCAAGAAACCAGTTTGAGGTCATTTGCGCTTTGAGCCATGGTGCGCTATTCTGCTGGAAGCAGCCATCAGAACAGGGGTACACTGTGTTCATAAAGGGCTGGACATGGTCATCAACAATTGTCAGGTAGGTGCTGGTATTCAAATAACACAAAGTATGCAAAGAAATAAATCCCCTGCACCATTACTACACCAATGCCAGCCTGAAATACTGAGAAAGGCCAGAATGGATCCAATCTTTACTCTGATCCTTCCATCTGAATGCTGCAGCAGAATTGGGGACTTCTCAGACCAGGCAATGTTTTTCCAGTCTTTAATTGTCCAGTTTTGGTGAACCTCAGTTTCCTGTTCTCAGCTGACAGCATGTGTGGTCTTCTGCTGCTTTAGCCCATCTGCTTCAAGGTTCCAAGTGTTGTGCAGAGATGCTCTTCTGCATATCTTGGTGGCTCTGTAAACTCTAGAGATTGTTGTGTGGGAAAATCCCAGTAAATCAGCAGCTTCTGGGATCCTCAGTCCAGCCCTACAACCACATTCAAAGTCATTAAATCACCTTTCTTCCCCATTCTGCTTCAGTTTGATGTAGCTCATTTTGACCATATCTGCAGGCATAAATTGTTGTTGAGTTTTTGCCATGTGAGTGGCTGATTAGGTATCTGCATTAATGGCCAGTTTAACAAATGTACATAATAGAGCGTATCTATGTATGAGGAGTTTAAAGGGCAGACATTGATGAGACAGTCTGTGCCAGTTGCAGCATGAATCACGCTCACATTCATTATGAATTTGCATAAGGATGCAAACACAGAAAATAACATCCTGTCATGTTGAACACTTATTGTGCATATCTAAACATATATTAGCTGAAATTCAGCTTCTCTGTGATTCACAGCAAAAATACAGAGTCTCAGATCACAGTTACCACCATGCATTCTTTTCTCAGCCGAATGAAACCACTTCAGTGGCTACTTAAATTCACTTCTTGCTTAAAAATTTTTTTAACCACTATCAAAGAAATTTCAGCACATTCTCTTACAATCACGCTCTGCTGAAGCATTGTGCAACTGCGCCGCATTTGCATACCGTATGAGCTCTGGGACCTACAGAGGAATTACATGCTTATCAAACATCATTTGCTCGAGGAGCTGCATGTCTGTGTGTTTGAAAAAAAATGAAGGATTTCAGCTACAGATTGACTGCAAATCCCACTGCAGCTGACATCCTGGAATTAAGAATTATATTTCTTGCATCATCTGTCGTGTCTTTACACGTAATTGATTAAATTTAGGTTTCAAAGGAACCAGTTCATGCTAAAAATGAACGTTCTCAAAGGGAAAAAAAAAAAAAAATCATGGATAGAATTGATAAACCCCATCCAAATCCATGTGTGTCACATGCTGATATTACTACAATTACGCAAACAAGACTGAGGAAGAGAGCAGTGACACAATATTGTATCTTCCTCGCCTTCATTATCCATCATTTGCTTAATTACAGGCTGCATTCTTGTAATTATCTCCCCAAGGCTTTTTGATTCATTGGCTTGATGCTTTCTTTGCCTTGAAATTGATTAACTGAGCATTTAATAAGGAGTCAGCCTGTGACAGCTAAATGCAAATTAATTGCAGTGCTAATCAGACCTGTGTCCCGAGATGTGATTAGATTTGAATTTGCAAAGGCTTTCTTTCTTTGAACTTGAACAGCATAAGATAAGTGATAATGAAACAAATCTAAAGTGTATTCACATCTTCAGGTAAGGAGCAGGGCTCTCACAGAGACGAATCCTCCGACGTGTCCAGCAAGTGCCTGCCGTGCCGCGAGGGCTGTCCCTACTGCCGGGATGACACGCCCTGCCTGGTGCAGGAGGACGGTGCTCTGAGGCTCTCTGTGGCCTCCTTCCAGGGTCTCTGCATGATGCTGGACTTGGCCAGTATGGTGGTGGTCTACCACTTCAGGAGAAACAAGGTAAGGAGAATGCAAGTTATCGGTTGCATGCTTTTCTAATGTGGATAGGGACATGCTTAACAGCTTATTCTACTACTTAGTTTAGACTTTGGAGGGAGTTTGTCATGTGTGGTGATGTCAGTAGAGCTTACGCCGGCCTGCACTCATAATCTCATTTTTTTTCAGTGCAAAGTTTAGAGAGAATTTGAAATAGTCAAAAACCTAGAAGCACTCTGAGAGAGGAAACCTCCACCAAGGCAGCTCTGTGGGCAGGATTTACATTTGAGGGAATCATTTTGTGTTTTGTATACATTCATTTTGCTTTCTTTGTTCTTTGTAAATGTAGTTTAAGACGTTTGTAGCGCAGTAAAAACAAGTGCAAAGGCTTTGTTGAAACCCATTTTAATATATACTTTGCATAATTGGCAGATTTTAAGTGTAAAAGTGAGGTTAGAGGTCAAATAAGAAATGCTATTTGGATGCAAACTAAAAAAAGTGATATTTAGAATCCCCATATACCAGAATCATTTCCTAAATGCTGAAAATACAAAGAAAGGCAGCAGAATTTCAAGCAACAATTTAAGGATAAGATACATTTTATGAAGGTTTGAGCTTATTTGATCTTAAAGAAGAGGTTAAAGTAACATATTAGAATCCACATATATATTCCCTATAATCCTATGTGTTGTCAATAAAAACAACGGCAGTAATACACATAGTTTTTACTTTTTTTAAAAATAGCTCTGTAAATCACTTTGACCTATAGATCAGTCTATTGACCTTGAAGGAGAGGTCAGAGGTCACATGTGACAGGCTATTTTACTCTATAAGGTACTTTCTTTATGTTAACAATACACACCACACTTATAAGAATCATAATGTGGAAGCTATAAAATTTTTGTCAGCTTTTGAAACCAAGGCACATTTTCATGACCTGACTCTACACCCGTATAAGTTTCATCAGAATTCATTCAAAAACTTTCAAGC